TCCATTTACAATTAAGTAGCGTGAATGTGGCTCCACTGTACGCCCCAGGAAGATCTCTTTGAACGTTTCACGAAATTGTCGCGACATACCACAGTAGATTCCGAAATTAATCGGATAGCTGACAACCAAAAATAAATTCGAAATTTGGACCGATATTATAATAATTGTGGGAAGAAATCGATTCGTTGTAAAAATACATGAAATTCTATGTTCCCTTACATGGGGGTTATGCAAGAACCTGATTTATAATTTTTGGTTTAATTTTCATGTTGGTACCTTAATTGGGTCACCCTTATAAGAAAATAACTGATGGTATCAACCTCGTCCTCGTCCCAACTATGGATCTTGAAAACTACAGTTTCGAGGTAGTATCTTGAAGAGTTTTATGTGAGTACCTGCCAAAAGGCCTACCTCACAGTGGCTGAGCCACAGGAGGAAAAGCACCGAAGAACTGTACCAATTGGAGAACATGCAGAAGGCACACTCTCCCCCTTAGTGAGGGGCGAAACCTCAACCCCCGTGAAGCTCCCCAGGGGGCCACACCAACTGTCAGGATGGATCGACAGTTCCAGGGGCATCTGACACCCGCGGTACGGAAAACCTCCGCTCAGGCTCGAGACCGAAGCCTCTCCCAGTTTGACGCACGTCCGGGCTGGTATCCCAAAAACAACAATAAGCAACGGCGATAACCGCAAGTGGCAAGGAAAAACCTAGCCACAAGCAGTGACAAACACACAAATCACATGCAATTAACATGCTGTCCTCACGGACTGCACGAAGGGCCCAAAGGACCGGGGCATCGGACATCACAACACAAACAATGAACAAAACTGACCTCACGTACAACCTACACTACATCCACAGGACGAGTGAAGCACACGAAGTGGAAACCACGAACCACCCACGATGCACAGACAACCGCAGGTAGTACGTACACCACCTACAACTGCCAACAACCACCGATAACCGCACCAAGACCAGCACCGCCACCCGGTGCACCTACCCACCACCACCCGGTGCAACCGACCAACCCAACTGCAAGGGGGCTATGTACGAGAACCACCTCCACTAAGTACTGTCCTTCTCCTAAATGCTTCACGAGCAAAACTACTTAAACAACTAAAGGTCCGATCGTCTTCAAGTGCCCTACTGAAATCCCACCCCGCCCCTCCATTCGATATACCCATACTTGCTAAATCTAATGTCATCGTAGTAATGTCATCATAGTAACAGCATTTCGTCAGTATATGCTTCCAGTCCTCAGTCATCCCGCACCCACATAAATCCGTCTGGGACAGGCCTTTTTTATGCAGAAAAGCATTGAGAGAGCCATGCCCCGTCAGTAAGAAACCAGTACTTAAGCCGAAGCGAAAGTCTGGCCGGTCCACTACGAACGTTGCCTCACTAATAAATTCATACGTCACCATCCCTTTGTCACTGTTCGTCCACCTTGTCCTCCACCTATCAACAACACAATCCCGAAGAATAGTGCTGTACCGCCTACTCTCCCCATCCACAAAATCAGAAGGCCTGAGCCAATCATCCTCATCCAACTGCAAACCACGCTTAAGCTTATACATGATAGCCCTACATCTCACTTCAAGATCAAGCGGCGCTGCGCCAAGCAGCACCTGCAACGCCTCTGTTGAAACAGTGCGACACACATGCAAGCACGCTAACATGACGACCCGCTGACACGAAAGGAGCTTCTTCTGCCCAAAGACAGAAGAGGCAGTTCCGTACCATATAGGTGCACCATAAGTTGCGCAGGCAACAAAAAGCCCACCATATATGATACGCATAGAACGCCTACTCAAGACCCAATTAGTCCGAAAAACACGCCTGATGGTCCCAACAACCATTGTCAGCTTCTCCTTCAACCGATCGAAGTGTGGAAGAAAATTCAAACGCTCTGACACCGTTATCCCGAGATATTTGACAGTACACGAATACCTTATGCCGCGTTCACCAGCTCGAATACAAGGATGACGAATGCGTACCAATCTGCCTTTCAGCAGCATCAGCACCGTCTTCTCGGTAGCCACCTCCTCTCAAACTCGGTCACTCCGACACGGTCGATGTAGTCAAAGATTTTATATACCTTGGTACCGCCATAAATAAAACTAATGATAGCATTGGACAACAGATTCTACTATGGTCACCACCTCTCGCCAGACCATACTCAATCTGTACAAGACGCTGATATTACCTATGCTGTTAAATGGATCTGAAGCATGGGTAGTTGCGCAAGCAGATGAGGCAGTTATTGGAGTGTTCGAGAGAAAAGTTCTCCAAAAGAGTTGTACCATCTATTCTCGGACATAAACATAGACAGACGTATCGAGCTGAAGCATGGGTAGTTGCGGAAGCAGATGAGGCAGCTCTTGGAGTGTTAAGGAGAGAAAAGTTCTCCGAAAGAGTTGTACCATCTACTCTCAGACATAAACATAGTGAGACATATCGAGCTGTAGCGACTACGTTGGAATGGATGAAGACACCCCAGCCCCAAAAGGCATAATAAGCGAGTCAAGGTCAAGAAGGGGAAGGCCACGAAATCGATTGAAAGATCAAATTGAAGACAACATTTCCGAACAGGGTTTTTAAAATTGGAATAGATGCGCGCAAGAACGACGCGCCTGTAGTTTTTTTTTAAGCTCGGCTTATGGAACAAATGTTCTGTCACAAGCCAACTAAGTAAGTAAGAGAGTTATGCCAAAATATGGACCAATAACGTGATGTCGGCATTAAAAACCCGAGAATTGTTCGAAACCCTTGTATGGAAATTATTTTTTTATGACCTTCGAAAACGAGTTGAGAAATTCGGCTACTACCGTTCACATATCGAAAAAGGACAAGGCATGTTTTATCGGGGCTCTTTCAAAAACCCCTCCGACTTGGACAATGTTCTACAAAGATATTAGTTTTTTACTCAACATGCCGTCACTTCGATTGGAGGGTATATAAGTTGTATCCTAACATTTATAGGCTGCACCATTGGGTGGGCACTCATAATTCCTAAAATCAGTTTTATAGTTGGAAACATCGCCTAGGACCTCATACATACCGAAATTTCCTGGGGTACTTTATATGAGGGGCTATGCCAAAATATGGACTTGGAGGGTACATAAGTTGTATCCTAACATTTGTAGGCTGGTCCACTGGTTGTGCAATCACAATTTTTGAAATCAGTTTTATAGTTGGAAACATTGCTTAGGACCTCATACATACCGAAATTTCCTGGGGTACTAAATATGAGGGCTATACCAAAATATGGACCTATACTGAAAATATTTTGCAAGGACTATCATCATCACCAAAAGCTGGGAATATCAAATTACAGCCAGTTCCATTGGAAAATACGCCTAGGACCATCAACATATTCAATATATGGCGAAACCCATTTATAGAAGGGCTATGGCAAAATATTGGCAATTTTCTGAGAATATGTTTTTGTCTTCAGGAACCTTACATACCAACGTAAAGTAACTATTATCGGATAATGAAGCAAAACTATCAATATGCCGAAACTAGGGAAATGTTAAAATAACAAAAAATCGGATTGTTGGTGTTAGCCCTAAAACTAGATCTAAACCTAAAATTTCTTTCAAGGTCGTATCCTAGTGACTAGGTTTGGCAATTTCGGTAATTCCTTTCAAGAAATTGTTGTAATTGTTCAACCTTCAGGTTGGACCAATTGCGCAATTGCGGATCTGGAAATATTTTTTCACTCAGAACCTAAAATATACAAATCTTTCCAAACGTCGAAAATCGTCATAAGGGTAATATGCCAAAATTGGGACCGGTATGTATAACCATCGTCATTTTGATTATCGCTTTCATCAGACCAAAAAGGGCTAATGCATCATTTCCAAATTATTCTGCCCTCAGTGATTCAGAAATAAAATTAAAGTCACTTAGGTTAAAAATTTAGCTTGGACCTTAAGAAGAAACCACAAAGTGGGGCAGGGTCGTAAGGGTCTCTTTGGTATGCCGTTTTATGAGGACCGTATCACAAGTCAGTGAAAACGACGGGCTTTGAATAGCTTCCGTGGGTCGTATTACCTTCAGATCTGGGCCCAGCTAAGAGTTCCCATATTCCAAAATATGAACATAATCAGAGGCATAGATTTTCGGACCATTTGATGGCCAACCTATTTATCGATTAGCATCAAGAAGTATTGATGTTGTTCTTTGGTTCATAATTAGCAGTAGATATAGTTTCATTACGAAATAACCAAACAATAACCTAACCATTGAGGCACATTAAAATTTTCTAAACAGAACCATTTTCGACCAGTTTGAAATTTCGCTTTAGGAACATGGATAAAATATGACCAAATATTCAATAATTTTATAGATGAAAATAAGTATTTTTTTTTCAATATTCTCTTTTCAAAGTGGTTTGAAAATATCCTTACATTAAATTATTAATGAACATAAATTACTGATCTATTTTAAATTATTAAATTCGTATTTGGTAGTGTAGGCACACAGACACATACACACCAACTGGCCTTATCGAATAATAATTTAAACAATTTAATTGTTATTTAAAAAATCTGCACTCTTTTCCTTAACATACAAAATGACAACAAATACTAGACTAGATACTGTATTTATATTTTACAATATTTCAACTTAAAATATATCATTTACAGAACTTACGTTGGGCGCCAACTTCTATATAGTGGTAGTACTATGAACTTAATTACGTTTACAGATTAAACTTCTACCTTATCCTCGTTGATAATATCCATCACAACAAAATGTTGCGGTTGTTCGCTACAACGTCTCGATGCCGTTGTGGCGGCAACAGCTGGACCACTAACTGCTGCCGGATTTGTTAGACCTACAACATCAATGCTGCCAACACTGCTACGGCTAACTGCATATGAAACACTTCCGCCACTGGTAGTAATTGTTGTATTTCCGCTTCGGCCACTTAAACTGGTGCTGGCAAATTTGCCGCCTACGGCAGTGCCCCCGTTATTACCACCACCACCGCCCACTGCAATTTCCGTAACACTGCTGCAGTAGCTGGAATGCCGTCTCCGTCGTTGCCAACTTTTGCGAAACGGCATTAGGAGAAACCTTTACTAGAGGACAGTTTCATTGGTATTGGAACATGTGCGTGGTCCATTAACAATTGAGTAGCGTGAATGTGGCTCCACCATACGCCCCAGGAAGATCTCTTTGAATGTTTCACGAAATTGTCGCGACATACCACAGTATATACCGAAATTAATCGGATAGCTGACAACCAAAAAGAAATTCGTAAACGTAATAAAAATATTTGCCACTTCATAGTCCAAAAAATTATTGGTCAGCGATGAGACAATGTGCATGGCCGTCACCACAGCTATGGGTATTTCGACGATAAGGAACACGGTGACTACCACAATTAACATGAGCGTGGTACAATTGCTTTCTCGCAATTTTTTACATTCCTTTTTGCGATTTTCACTGATTAGCAGTTTTCGTCGCTCCTGGGCCTTACGCAACGCCCGAAACAGTAAGATGTTTAGGGTAACCAATATTATACAGGGTAACAAATGGACGAATAAAACGCGAAAGAGGAAGAAGAACGTATAGTAGAGATCTTCGCCGACAAACTCTTGCACCCATCGGGCATTGTCGACGTGACAAACCTCCACCATTTCTCCATTCCATTCGATTGTTAGAGCTTGATAGCTGCGATCAAAAATCCGTGTACTTTGATGCAGGAAGGCAGCTAATGTTATATAAATGGTAAATCGTTTGACTCGAGGCATTGTACACCATGTTCGTGCCATGGGCGCATGGCATACGTAAATATATCTGAAAATAGAGGGAAGAGAGAGAGAGAGAGAAATTAATAAAGAACCAGTAAGGAAAGTAGTAAAGTCGGACTGGGCCGACTATATGATACCCTTCACCACTTTGGGTATATTCTACATATGTATCCGAAAAGACGTCGCCTTTTTGAAGGAATTTTGACATAAAATTGAACGAACTTAAATATGTGATTTTTATATCTTTCAGGAACCTATGCTATATTTCATTTCATTTGGGCAAGTTTAGAGTCGTTTGCGCACAGTGGGACAGATTAGTGTAAATCGATTTAAAGCAAACTTGACACACGCTATTCGGTATGCTGCACTGTTTAAAATTTAATCTCAATAAATAAGTCGAAATTATATATGGAAGCTACGAGATATCTATATCTGAACCGATTTGAAGCAAACTTACCAGAGATTAATTTATACTAATTTCAATCTTTAATGCACAATTTACTTAAAATCGGACGAAAATATATATAGGAGGTGTACACATCATTCCAGACTTAATTCAATACGTTATGCCAAAATTCGTGCAAATCGAATAATTTTCAGAGACTTTGGTGCACCATTTACCAAAAATCGGACGAAACTATGTATGGAAGCTATATCTAAATCTGAACTGATTTTCACGAAACCTAGCACACATCATTCCAGACTTAATTTAGTACGCTATAATAAAATTCATGTCAATCAAAAGATTAGCATGGACTTTGGTGCACCATTTACCTAAAATCGGGCGAAACTATATATAGGAGGTATATCTAAATCTGAACCGATTTTCAGGAAACTTAGCACACATCATTCTAGAACTAATTCAGTAGGCTATACCAAATTTCATGCAAAAACAAAGATATATGGGGACTTTGGTACACCATTTACCTAAAATCGGGCGAAACTATATATGGAAGCTATATATAAATCTGAACCGAATTTCTCGAAACTTAGCACACGTCATTCTAGACGTAATTCAATACGCTATGCCAAATTTCGTGCAAATCGATGGATATATATGACTTTGGTACACCATTTACCTGAAATCGGACGAATATATATATGGGAGCTATATCTAAATCTGAATCGATTTTCACAAAACTTAGCACACATCATTCTAGACCTAGTTCAGTAGGCTATACACAATTTCGTGCAAATCGAAAGATATATAGGGACTTTGGTACACCATCTACCTTAAATCGGGCGAAACTATATATGGGAGCTATATTTAAATCTGAACCGATTTTCAAAAAATTTAGCACACATCGTTCTAGACTTAATTAAGTACGCTATGCCAAAATTCGTGTAAATCAAATGATTTTCAGGGACTTTGGTGCACCATTTACATAAAATCCGACTATATATGGGAGCTACATCTAAATCTGAACCGATTTTCTCGAAACTTAACACACGTCATTCTAGACTTAATTTAGTACGCTATAACAAAATTCATGCCAATCAAAAGATTAGCAGGGACTTTAGTGCATCATTTACCTAAAATCGGGCTAAACTATATATGGAAGCTATATCTAAATCTGAACCGATTTTCTCGAAACTTAGCACACGTCATTCTAGAAGTAATTCAATTCGCTATGCCAAATTTCGTGCAAATCGATGGATATATAAGGACTTTGGTACACCATTTACCTAAAATCGGGCGAAACTATATTTGGGAGCTATATCTAAATCTGAACCGATTTTCACGAAACTTGGCACACATTATTCTAGACCTAATTCAGTAGGCTGTACCAAATTTGGTTCAAATCGAAAGATAATTACGGACTTTTGTACCTCATTAACCTTACCTATATCTGGATCGATTTGCCCCAATTTCAATAGGATTCGTCCTTGGGCCAAACAAATGAGCTGTGCCAAATTTCATCCAATTCGGATTATAAATGCGACCTGTACTTTGTTTACAATTTAACATGGATAGACGGACGGACGGACATGCATAAATCGACTCAGAAAGTGATTCTAAGCATATTCTCAAAAGGAACCATGGGTCTATCTCGATTATTTCTGCCTGTTACAAACATATGCACAAAGACATAATACTCTGTACCACAGTGTGGTGAAGGGTATAAAAATGGAATATAAATTGAAATAAAATATTAAATAATTCAAATGTGGAAAAATAACTTCAGGTCCATCATGTTTAATTCTATGTTGCGGAATATAAATGTTGCACATTTTTCATACCCTCCACAGCAACATACCTAACCTCCACACCACTAAATATGATCATAAGCCCCTTAACCGGTCATATCTTGACCATGAATTAAATGCTAGCCCAAACATCATATAGGTTTTAGGTAGACATTTTCATTATAACGTCCAATAAAATTTATATTTTGTACTGTTCTCAATATACATAACAGCCACTTATGTCAAAAAAAGTAACGTGACATGACATGCATTTGTTTATTTAATAATAAATATGAGAATAAGAATAACAACTAAATATTTCCATCACTCGAAAGGAAATAGATTTTCTTTCATTCACAAGTACTTCTAGAAAAAGATACAAATAGGCAAGAAAAATCTTATTATTATTTCAATAACCATCATTTATGATAACTTTGAGGACCATTTCAATGACCATAATATGACACACACACCCACACATAGTACTTAAAATGTATCCCCACCCATATTCATATGTAATGTAGTCATGCATTCTGTAGAAAATTGATTTTGATTTCTTATTCAATTTCGATAATAGTATTATAAGAGGCCAATTTCAATATGCACCATTCCATGACATTTTTCCCCCATCGTAACCAAATCAAAATAAATTAGGTCAATTTGAGTTGTTTTAATGCATTACCAACACCGCCGACACTAACTGTTGTCGGCCTACTCCTCCCCGGCTATAGATTTTCATAATAGTAACAACTTTATCATCACAGGCCGCTGGCGTTGAATCAATGATTTCAGCACGTACCACAACAAAAAAGAAGAGAGAAGCACTCAGGAGTAAAACAAACCCGAGGGCGTTTGACTGTGAATGCGATAGGCTGGGTAATGTTAAAAGGTTTACGTGTTCCTCCGTGTCCATTCGTTGAATAACTTAATAGACCGAAGTAATCTATATGTCCTGGAAAATGTTTTTTTTTTGCTACTAACTGAATTAATTCAATTTACTTAATTTTTGGAATGGCAGTACCTTGGAGTGCTTTGTAGAGGAATTTCAAGGTGTTAGTGCTATGACGTATTGAATTAAATATATAATTTTGCATTGAATATTATAAGGGTCTGATTCTAAAGAGCTGATATTGAAAATAAAACCAGTGAGCGGAGCAGTATAGTCGGACGGGGCCGACCATATGATACCCTACACAACTACTACGAAAAGCCTGGGCAATATTTCGTGATATTTGCACCCTTTTTACCGATTATAGATCAACAACTCCTTTTTCTAAGTCTTGCATATTTTCCAAAATGTTTTTTCTTGAAGTGAATTTTTACGCCATACAATCAAAAATTGGTCACTTTAGGTTTTGGTTGATTTGACACTCGGAAAATTGACCGATCATCATCTAAACAACCGCTCTAAGTATTTGGTCAGACCCCCTTCACCTTGTAAAATATGTGATGTTCTGTATATAATAATTGACTCTAGAGCGACTAGAAAATCTGCAAAATTAAAGTTTTCGGTTCATTGTACGCCCTGAATGAAATCTCAACTTCACCGAAATTTATAAGCGTCGTCCTTGACCATAATCGGAACTTCGTGTAAAATTTCAAAGCGATCAGCGCGAGATTTCCGTCCTCTAATGGAGTAATAGTAATAATATGCACATAGTCACCTTTAATTAATTACGTATAACTCCCGCATCGGAGTACATACAGCCATATAATTGGTATAAATTTGAAGGTCACCAACTACTCTTGGATATACTATCAACGTCTCGGGTATATGTCCTTCAGAAGCAAGTATATACGCCCCAGAATAACAAATTTTTAATTTTTCACACAAAAGTCAAGATCCATTTGACCCCCTAAATATTGACCGATCTTTATCAAAACAGGCATGCTTATTCTTAGGCCCGATCCCCTTCTCCATGTAAAATTTCACGATGTTCGGACCATAACTGCGGCCACTGGAGCGACCAGAAAGACCGACAAAAATTTAGTATAGTATATTAAAATTGATTTGGTAATGAGCGAATAGGAATATTTCATAAAAAAAATAGTAAAAATAACCAGTAAGGAAAATTCAAAAGTCGGACGGGGCCGACTATATGATACCCTTCACCATTTTGGGTACATACAAGAGATGCTCATATGCACAATATCCTGTCGATAAAACAGACATGACATATTTGAAGGACTATCGAAATGGAATCGGGCAAAATTAAATATTGTGATCGACATAGACATTTGAAGCAATAACAAAACAAAATGTATGACTTTGAAATCGGTCAAAATAATGTAAACCTGGACCTAACTGAGCAACCGTGTCACACCATATGGTACCTTGTGTACAAATTCGCCTCAATCGAAAAAAATAGTTTTTTGGTACACCATCGATGAAATCGGATGGAAAAATATATGGAAGCTATATCTAAACCTGAACAAAATTGGACGGAAATATGTATAACACACGTCATTCTAGACTCGATGTGACAGAACAGACTTGTGACAGAAAATTTGTTCCATAATCCGAGCTTTAAAAATATTTCTAGGCGCTTCGTTTGAAATACCATCTTCCGAAATGTTCTCTTCTACTTGATCTTTCCATCTAATTCGTGGCTTCCCCTTCTCTGTGTGAGCCATCAGTTGGCTCCCTTTTATATGTCTTTTGTGCTGGGGCATCCTCATCCATTCTCACAACATGACCTAGCCAACGTAGTTGTAGACAATGCCGATGTCCGAGAACATATTTTACAGCTCATGGTTCATTCGACGACGATATTCATCGTCAACGCAGATCGTCCCATAGATATTTCGGATAATTTTTCTCTCAAGCACTCCAAAAGCAGCCTCATCTGCTTGCGCAAG